ATATATATATATATATAAATTTTTCAGACAGGAATGAGTTTTTAATACTAGATATTTATTGATATTTCTGTCTTGTTTTGGTTTTTTTTTTACTAACTTTTTGTAGGATGGATCATTTGTACATTTCAAAGTCAAGCCTACTTCAGTTATGAAAGAGATATTCAAGGCATATGTTAAGAGTAAACAAATATTGGAGTATAAAACATTTAGGTTTTTGTTCAATGGAAAACGCATTTATTCTAAGAAGACTGTAAATGAAGTAAGTTATTAGCCTTTTAATTTCCATAATATGATTTATTATTAATTCGATATTTTAACACTCTACATATTAATATCCCTCATGTTTAATTTTTGTTTTTGTATGTTTTTTTTGGATTATATATAATGAAGTCGGGATTAAAAGATGATGATGAAATTGATGCTATGATGTATCAACACGGAGGAGGGCATGTATGTTGTGTTTCTGAGACGACAACAATAACAACAAACTTAATGTAATTCTATTAATTGTGGTTATGAGACGATGGCATAAAAATGAAGAAGATATAAATACGTTGCGACTAATTGGCTATATTCTGCTTTTTATTAGATTTTCTGAAGGAACAAAAAAGTAGTATAGTAGTATTGAATAAGTTCATGTGCCCAAGGAATGTCAATGTTTGTAATAGTTTCTATTTAATATAATTATCTTAGTTACCATGCTGCTTTGAGCAGGTTGTAAGGCACTATTTATTAGAGGGTTACTACTATATATTATTATCTCTTTTATTTTATTTTATTTTATTGCTGTAGATTTCTCGAATGAATTTTATTACATATTGTCCTTCAATTTTTAAACGATTATTTTACTATGTTTTCTGTCATTATTTAGTACTACATTATATGGTGTCTATAAGAAGAAATAGAAAAAACCGAAAAGAAATAGAAAGAATTATCGTAGGAGTAGATTGGCACAAACACATAACTTGGCCTCAAGTGGTTTTTCAGTTATTTATATGTTCAACCACAATAACGATCCAGTAAAATTTTACTAGTGGGGTTTGGGAAGGTAGTGTGTACGCAGACCTTAACACTACCCTGTGGGAGTAGAGAGGTTGCTCCCGAAAGACCTTCGGCTCAAGAAGACGACAAGTAATAATATTAGTATCACCAATAGAAACCATATGAAAAATAATATCATGAAAATGAGAAAGTAGATACAAAACAAAAGCGATAGACAACACATAGACCCGACACTATGGAAAACGAAAGAGTAGTAAGATACAACATTGTCATTAATTGACTTTGACACAATCCCTACTAGACTATCCTCACAAATGTACGAGTAAGGAAAGACTCAATTACCTCTTAACCTACAACTCTAATACTCGACTCCCACTGCTTCCTATCAAGGGACATGTCCTCGGAAATCTGAAGTCTCGTCATATCCTGGCTGATCACCTCCCAATACTTCTCAGGCCGTCCTCTACCTCTTCCCGTGCCCTCCAAAGCCAGCCGCTCATACATCCTTACCGGAGTATCTGGGCTTTTCCTTTGTACGTGTCCGAACCATCTGAGCATGTCAATACTTGAAAATGTGATTATAATCTGTTTTTTACTACCAAAAACGTGAAAAGTATGAAATACAGATTTATTTGCTTCTGAATAAAAACTTTTAGTGAGGATTAATATACTAAATCTTATGATTTGTGAAATGTTTTTTAATTGGTAACACCATAAGACTAATAATATTAAACCAAATTCACAATTCTTCTCATAAAAACTTAGTAAAAAAAAAAACTATATAAGAAAATGCCCAAAGATTTCAAACTTCCAGGAGAGAGGAAAATTTTCATACTATAAATGGTAATACTCTTGTTCCAAGGAAAATGCAAGATGACAAGAAGTAATACAAAAGAGAGGAAACAACACTACTGCAGGATTTGAACTAAAAGAGAAAAAGCTTTAATTTTAACACCATTTTAGAAATTTGACAGAGAGAAAAAAGAAGTACAAATGTATAATAGCTGTAGAACTTGGACAAATGAATTGGAGTGTACATGGTTTTGGTGGAGTGTCAAACTACCTTTCATCTTTGATTAAAGATCTCGAATTTAAGTTCCGGGTATGAAGTCAGTATTTATTAGGGAGTATTTACATCCCCCAAATGTGTCAATCGCTCATCCGGATTTAGTCGGATCGTAATGCGGTTACAGGACATCGGAAGAGAAAAAAAGAAGTGAAGTGTAAAAAGACAAAAAAAAGCTTTTAACGAATTTCCTTTTCTTGTTTTGTTTTTTCACCATGTGTCCGCTCCGCACATTGGGCCTGACTAAATTCAGATTCACACCGTGAAATACCACATTGATGCGAGAGAGGGAGGGGGCTGTAAAGCGCTCCCTAACAAAGGCGACTTATTACTCAGGACTCAAACCCGATACCTCTAGTTAATGATGAAGGAACATTTGCCAAAATTCCTTTGTTGGTGCTTTTAATGAATTTCCACAATGGAGTATTGCTTTCATTTGATTTTTCACTGCATAAGTGCAGATAAACCACATCCCAATTTTCCATTCATAACTTGAGCATGTGAACTGCTTGAACTTAAGAGTACTCAATATTATCAAAAGAGTATTATGGATGTTTATAAAATAAATAAGAACAGAAAATCTAACTTATATAATTAACCATATGAATCATCAGAAAAGGAATAGTAAAAAACTATGAAAAACAAAAAGACTCAAGATTACTCACTAAAATAACCTTCTTTTCTTTTAAAACCATACAATTCTCTTCGGTTTTGGAAAATATAAACTCTCTAAAAATAATAAAGGAACTTTGTAATGTTAAAGAATATATATCCTTTAGTAGGATCATAAATATCAAAATATTGAACCCCTTTTTCTACTTGAAAGACAATTTTACCATCTCTTGTACAGCCCAAAAGCACACTATCCTCTACAAATTCATAGCAAAAGCGCAAATTATTGAGTCTAATTTCCATTAAAAATGTCCATTGATCTTTTTTCATGATCCAAATATCCGAATGGTCGCTATGGGTGCGGCCACCATATAAACCAACACAGCCTTTCAAAGAAGTCAAACGAAACAATTGATTTTCACCTATAAAATTTGGTTTCGGAAGCTCCTTCAGTTCATCTCACTTCAAGTCAAAGTATATAATCGTAGAATTTGTATGTACTAATTGGTTAATTTTTTAATCCAGAGACCAGAGTACACGCCCGTATTGGACGTATCATCTTCAAAGGTTGGTCTCGTATGTAATTTCTTGTTTGACGACATTATGTTTGTTGCAGGAGGAGAAGAGTGGCGTAGGAAAGAGGTTTTCGATAGGGTTTATTTCATATATAACTTAATCACATAAAAAAGAAAAATACTTCCATCTAAGAATAGGAGAAGGAATTAAAATAAGATTTCAAAAAATTATTGTTGTGAGGAAAGAGGATTCTTGTCCATTAATTAAGGTTTGTATATATAGTACTTGACTAGAAAGAGAAAAGTCGTGCCAAATAAAGTTTCCTAGATTACCCAAACCAAAAAACTGAAAGTTTTGACCCAAATTAACCAGGAAACAGTCTGAGAAGGAAAAAAAACGAAATCAGTTTACATGCAATATAATAAGAAATTATTGGATTACTTCAGTATTCTAGTAGCCGGGCTTGAAGTTCAGCTCTAGATGCCGGGCTTGAAGTTCAGCTCTAGAGCTGATGTTTTTGTTTTGTAACTGGCGAAGTTTTTATGTTGTAACTGGAGCTGAAGTTTTAGAAATTCATAATCTAGTGTTGACAATACTTATGCCATTGTTGCATATGAGGCTAAGACTAGGCTGAAGAGATCAAATATAGTAGATAAGCGGTGAATGGATCGCTCGACAAGGAGTGAAACAGCGACAAATATAGTCAATACAAAAGCAACAGACCATGTTGGTGTCAAGGCCAATGACCGAAGTTCTTTGTTACCTTCTTCCATTTCCCAGTGATCAATGTCTATATATAATTAATGTATATGTATATACAGAACTTCAATTGACCTCTCCAGTAATAGAATCAAACTCTACCACCAATTACATAAAAATTACAACTTTCTCGCAATCTACATAACCGAGAACTACTTATGACATAAAAATCAAAACTTTCTTGCAGTACAAGAAGCATGGTCCTCTATTCAGTAATAAGTAGAGGAGAAATTCTGAAATCTGCCACTTAACCTATAAATCTCCAGATTCTGCAACACATATTTATAGGAAGACAGTAGAAGAATTAATATTTAAAAAGGCAACGGGATGGTCGTCCTCTTGCTTGGCAACTCAGTCAATTGCTTGTTTGCATATTTCAGCTATTTATTTCAGAAGAAGAAGAAAACGAAGGAGGATAAGAAGGAGGAGAAAGGGGGCTGACGTTATTTATGAAGTGGGTACAAGTTAAAAGTTTAAAAAAAAAAAATGGGTATAGGTTAAATGGGGGCGATCAAATAGGGCGCCCCGTGCAATTTTTACCAAAAATCACAAGTCGTGATGGCACCTAACTCAACCCGCTAAGTAAGTCAACTAAATGTGTTAAACGGTCCGGGTCAATCCGTTTCCGCACCGGCCCAGACCAATTAAAACCCGGACCGGCCCGGACCGGTACTTAGGGGGCCGGGTGGGCTGGGTTACTAGGGTTAGAGGGGTTTGTCCGTTCACATTAATTCATTCGGTTAACCGGACCGGTCAACCAAAATCCCTGTAGAACCGATTAACCGGTCCGGACCGGCTTAACGACTAGATTTCAATATTTTTTTTAAAATGTTTCTGACCGTTGGCAACGTCCAGCTGGCTTTTGGTCGTTGCCCAACGGCTGTTTTGCACAAATAGCCCTTTTTGGGCAATTTTTTTAAAAAAATTTACACTTTTTGTAATTACTAATTTAGCCCTTTGAAAAACTATAAATACACCCTCCTCTTCTTCCTTTCTTCACTTATCTCTCATTTTTCAAACTCATATTCTCAATTATCATTCTCTCGTTCTTCACCTAAAGTGCAATCAAGTATTTGGCTCTCATTTTTTTGGAATTTAATTTATTGTATTATTTATTATTTGAAGTTTGAACAAAAGACGTTTCTTCGTGGTAACATTGAAGTTGCGAAATCATCAAGTGTTCAATTTATTGCCGAATTCGGTGCACTCTCTCCAACTCTTTCTCTTATTTACTACTTTATTTGCATATTTAATTTTTGCTAGTAGTTAAATTTTCACAATATGTTTAATGCTGCAAAAAGAGTTTGTAATAAGGTTACTAATCGGGGTAATCAGGGAAATAGAAAAAGAGGTACTACTTCAACATCTGGTAGTAATTTAAATGACTCTACACATATTTCTGAAACATTACCTGATAATAATATAGATTATGAACAATTACAGGAATATTTCGATATAGAAGATAATGAATTATAAATTGAAGATGAGACACCACTTATACCTAGTAGTGTTACTACTGGGATGGTGGTCGTGGTGCTAGTAGTAGACCACTTGTGGCCCCGACTACTATCAGAGAAAAAGAAGTAAGGTTTGGATATTTTTTGACGAAATATTAGGTACTGATAGAGTTAAATGCAGACTTTCTAATGATGATTTTAAACATAAGACTGGAGGACCATTAGGGGGAGACTGGGACACTTAGTAGACATATGAAAATTGAGCATCCTATAGAATGGGGCTCTGATGGAGATGGAAATCAAGCCAATCTAAACCCTACTACTGGAGGGATTATGAAATATGATAAAATGAAGGATCGTG